TGATGGTCATTATTTTCAGTATTTTCCTAACCCTTTTTCCTCACTTTCTCTTTTCATTAGTGATTTCCAAATTGACTTTAAAGATTTAATATCCAGTACTGCAGTGGTGTGAGTTCTCCTTCTGAAAGGTTCTGAACCAATTATAAACAAAGCAGTCTCAGTCTATTAATTTTGGTTTTTTTTTTTGCTTTTGAACTTTTGCTGTAGCTTTTGCTATTAATAGTATTGACTCCTTCCTGACAGTCTGCCAAATGGACCAGAGTTATACAAACCTCCTAATGACTGAAGTCTCAAAGTTGAGGAATAAAGGGAAGAAAAACTTTGGTGCCTTTTTCTCGGGCCAAGAATTTGTTTCATACAGTGTGACAAGATTTTTACATTGTCTGTCACTAAGACATTACAAACTGGTACTTATTTAGAGAACATTTTAATATTTTCTGTTTCTCAAAGCTTCAGAGAAACATGCTCATTAGTTGTAATTGACAACTATACATTTTTTCTTGGAAGAGAGGAGTTGCATATATTAATAATAAATGAATATATTTTAAAAGTGATTTTGTCCTAGGGGATGTCCAAGAAAATTACATGCTAGTAAAGAGATAGGTATTGTATCTTTACAGCTGAAATCTTTAGTTGGTATCAGTTTTAAAATAATCCATCTATAGATACTCTCTTGAAAGAACATTTTCAAATGAAATAATTTCCATTAAGGGGTAAGCAATTGATCTTTTAAATCTGCTTTGATAAACTGTCATTAAGGATGACAGGATGACTGTCATTAAGACTGAAAGATCTCCACAGTGCCTCCCAAATAATAAAAATAAAAATAAGCAGAGATGAAAGATTCCACTAACCACTTTATTCAAATACTGCGTAATTTAATTCAACCTCTTGTAAAATCAGTAGGAGTGCTTGTATTAATTCAACAGGTGGATCAAGTCTTGAGTAAGACATAAGTTTTTCTTCAGGAAAATATCTATAAACTGTAATCCTTAAACTTTAATAAAATGTTGACATGATCATATTGAGGAAAAAACTGCAAATATATATAATTTAATACTCTCTAGTGACACTAGATTTTCAAGGTGAATGTTCAGTTTTCTTTGAAAGCTTTCTGTCCAATAAATTAAATTATCCTTTAGTTTTTCTTATTTTATCATGATATCTCTTTAGACATCAATTCATACTTCCCTAATATTTTTTTTTTCAATTACACTAAAATAAATGACAATAAATAGTATAGTATAACATAGTAGATATAACACAAAATTTTCTCTGGAATCTTAAAGGTTAAAGTTGTAAGAAATAAACCAAAAATCAGCATAAATTCCTGGCCATGTCAAAGTCCATGGGACAGACTGGTGGCCCTGGCATGAAAAATTCTAATTTTGCGTCATTAATTTTTTTGTCATCTTGTCCAAAACAATGAGCTGGGTGAGGCTTTTCCTGACTTCAGTGGCACAGCAGCTGTTTGGGATTCATGAAACAATGCAAAACAGGAAATGTGTGTGGCAGACTTCTGACATTCACCATCTTTGGGCCAGAGTTCAGCAGCCTGTTCAGCTGCCTGAGTAATATAACAGATTCCCTTTTGCCTTCCTGTTCAGGCTGTTTTCCTGAGGTGCTGGATCTTCCTCATTACCGTTCCTTTCTCTCTTTTTTTTTTTTTTTTAATTTTATTTTTTTTTTTTTTTTTTTTTTTAACAAAGGTCTTTCAGATGCAATAAGCTGANTTTTTTTTTTTTTTTTTTAATTTCATTTTTTTTTTTTTATTTTATTTTAACAAAGGTCTTTCAGATGCAATAAGCTGAAGAGTAGCTGTGGTGAATCACTTCTACAGATTTCTCAGACTTTCAGGTTATGGTCTGATTGCCCTCTGAAATGTAGCTCTACTGAAATACTTTTAAAAATACTTTGAACTTGGTAACACCTTCTTGCCTCTGCCTCAGGATTCTTTCCATTTCACTTTTCTTTTATTACTGTCATCTGGTTGGAATCAAGATCTTTTGCAGACATCATTTTCTGCCTTCCCCAAAACTACAGTTTTTCTGTTGGCAATATTTTGAAACTATGCCTTTCTAAAATAGTGCTTAAATATGGTTTCCTCCTGGGTTAGCAGAAGGGGAGGATAAAGAATTAGGAAAGAAATTATATTTCCTTAAAAGAAACTTTATTGCCTTAGATATTTTTACCCTGCTTTAAGCCAGTAGGTCTTCAGTAGAGATACACTCCAAAGACTCTTTTCCTGGTTTTAAGTTTACAGGTGGGCATTGTTATTACCAAAGCATTATAGGCAGAATTATCAATATTCATTATTACCGAGTTTATTATTACTCAGCTCATTATTACTGAGCTTATACTCAGCTCAGTTTTTCTGGCATTTTTCTTTTATTGATCACAGTTACCACTGTGGCTAATTGCAATAATTTTTGTTCATTGAAGCTGCACACAGATATTAAACTCCTAGTGGTACAGAGGCAGTGAAATGAAAGAAATGTCATGTCTTAGAACTGTCTGCTCTAAGCATCCTCCTAATCCAGTCTTCACTTTTTTTTTCTTATGTATTTGTATTGTTATAAATTAGGAATGGATTTTATATGCTTTTTAAGTTTTGTCCAGTAATTTCTTTAAAGTTAGTGACTAGTTCTCCTTTGTTTCTTCACCCTGATAATGCCAAGCACACACTTCAATTGAGAAAAAGTCAGTGCATTTTACTATATATCATATTCTTGTGAGTAATGTGAAACTGTGGCTTGGTAACAGCATAAAAAATTAATTTATGCCACAATCCACTGGAGCTGAATAATGTCCATACCCTCTTAATGCCTGTATGCCTGTATACCCACAACTCATCTGTGCATTTGTGAGACCTGAGTGTGCATCCCTGTGGCATGCATCCCCGTGGCATGGTTTCCTTTGGAAGGCATGTTAAGGTGTGTATGGACCATGATCTATCGCTAAAGGCAAATCTACTTCCCTGTTGTTCCTGCTGTGAAAAAGAGCTTGGATCACAGGTACAGCAAGATGTTCCTTGTCACTATAGGACACATGAAAGCACGATGTGAGTCGCTGTTATTGCAAAGGTGAAAAAGAGGAAGTTTATTCTCTGGCTCCAGCATTTATACTCTTCCAAAAGTGACTGTGGGTTGGAGGGTGAATGTGCCACCTCTCCAATGACATTGCACAAACTACTAGTACATCAAATTTCTCTGTCTCTATGGAGGAGTGCAAAACAATAGCTTGTTTACAGAAAGTTGTGTGAGAAAGTTCTCTACAAGAATGTAAACCCAGAAGGTTTTAGAAAATCTTAAGAATCAGAGAAACAGTTCCTTACTATCAAAATCATTCCCTGATGAACTCCAAGGAGATCAACCACAGTGGACAATTCAGTGACCAGTCAACTCAGCAAGGTTTGTATGAAAAATGCTCTACAGCTGAGTCATCACTCCAATCACCCAGACAAAATGCATCCAGAGAAAGCACCTTGCTGTGAAGGGAGCATTTATGGGAGCTTTCTATGATTCCAAACACAGTGAAAAGATTTTGCAGTATTAAAGAAGTACCTATTGTACTATTTTACAAAGTAAAGAGCAAAATAAAAAACATTCCCTAAAACTTTCAAGGAATTTTGACCATTTGACATATTCATAAATTAATTCCTACCTGCACTAATGTAGAAAAAAACTTAGGGTAAGATAAGTCAAAGAAATTGATAATTTGAAAGACAAGTGGCCATGATGCTGCAAGCCTAAACAAGGTGAAAAAATTTAACAAAAATTATCTTTCTTCCACCTTCTTGACTCATAATATATATCTCATGCAAATTTAACTTCTAAGATATCCATACACTAAGAGGTATGCTGAAGGGGCCAGAATGATTTCCAAAGCAGATGATTATGACTCAGCAGTCATTACTTTGACTCACTTTACTACATCAAGCAAGATAGGCATGATCTATAAATACACAAATATGGCCATTTAGAGTCATTACAAATGCACTCTTACAGATTTCCTGTATAGTGTACCTATGAATTCACAGTATGATGATCATACTAAATATTCTGTGAATTCAAATAAATACATAAAAGATATAGCACTTAGTGGTTTATTTAATACCTTTTCAAATTTAACTTGCAGACTTCTACACTTCTACTTGGATTATAAGACTTACTGGATAATTTAAAACACTCCTAACAAGTTTTCTTGAACTGCAGATAAGCAGTTACTTGACCCTTATTTCTATCTTTTTGCCTTTAAAATAATTCACAATTTTGAATCATATCCTTGACAATTAGAGTTACAAATCTCTGACACTTAAGAAATATTTTAATGCAGAAGTAATGCATGAAGAAGTGATGAAATTTCATTGAAAGTTAATTATACACACATAGCCTTGAAAAGTACAGATGCCCTTTTATGATACTGATGCTTCCATTGATATGAGTCAAATATTTCCTTGATTTAAAGAAGAAATATGCCTATTAGAGACATTTGTAAAGTAAACAGCTCCTTGATCCCTGCCCTCATATATGATTCATCTTCTTCAGCTTTAATTTTGTTGCACTTACTGAACAAGTGGCACTTAATGAAACAATTTGCGGTGCTAATATAGAGTGTCAAAAGGAAAGCACAAGCAGTTTCTACATGACACAGATAATCCTGGCACATAGCTGCAAAGGCAAGCATGTTCTTTGCAAAACTAAAGCCAGCAAAACTCAAAGTAAACCATTACAAAAAGAAAAAAAAAAGCCAAAAAAGTAGCGCACAATATCTGTGGAGTATAAATGCTTCAAAGAGCTTTTATTTTTTTATAAACCAATAAGTCTTTACACACAAAGATATTTAGGGAGATTTATTCTCAGTTTTACAGATAGAGAATCTAAGAAACAAAGTAATTTAGTGCTGTTTGCACATCAAGACACTAAAAATAATGGAGGAAATTATGGCATTTCTCTTTAAGATGCCTCAATTTTTTGGTTTTGTTTTGGTTTTTTTTTTTCCTCCTATTTCCTGTGGAGCCTGCTGCTTGATCACAGGACACATGGCTGAAAACCCTGAACTTCATCTGAAGATCTGAAGATTCAGATGCAATTTCACATGATTTCTATCAAAACTTAATGAACATTCATCTTCATCTTTACTAGGAAAAAGAAAAGATTACAGGTCATATATCTGTAAAAAGCCTCTAGATTAAATCTGCAGTCACTGGCTATTTAGAAACCAAACCAAACACACAAACAACAAAACAAAACTCCAAACCCCCATAAGCCTTGTATTAGGAAGAATTCAGGCAAACTAATACAAAAGTCAATTAAATATTCTTGTTGAATTCAGAGTTAAGTAAATCTTTTAGTATATAATCCAACATTGCCATAGTAATGCCATCATTTCTCCTGATTTCACCATGTATTGCACTTCCTCACTTGAAACATCTGGATTTTGAATCTGATTAAACTTGCAGTACATGAAAGTATCACAATCAAATGAGGGTATCACAATCAAACTGGACTCACCAGAAGGGAAGGAATAGGAATGAGGCTGAGGAGGGCAAAAGAAAGCAGGAGATGAGCTCTTCAGCCTGGAGGGACAGCTCGTGAAGTCTCTAGAAATGATTTTAGACAACTAATCCATTAAGCCATGCATTATACCAGCCCTAGCACACAGCCTTCTCTGCAGAGCCAAGCCACATCCTAATCTCTGGGATGGAGTCAGAAGTCCATGTGCTCTTTAACACAGACACTCTTTGGCTTTTATACTGTCTATCAGCTGCATGGGAAGAGGAGAATTTGGCCTTCAACATTCCTGTCAAATTCCTTAAACCTAAAATTCCTGAGATTACTTTAAGATAACCAAGGGATTATCCAACATCAGTAGAAAGCCAAGAGGAACCCTTACTAAATACTCACTCACAAAGCCTTTTATCTCTCAGAGAGTTAGCAGCAATACTCCATGGACATCCCCTTATGATTTGTCTCTCATACAGTCAAAATTATCAGTTAGAGGTAGAATTGCTCAAAGACACTATATCTCCCTTTCTTCATATATACTAATCTTTCTGGAGGCATTTTTATTGCATATTCAGTATTTTTTTATAACTTTTTTGGTATAATTTTTGCCTTATATTCTGATGATATATTTTAGGAGAAGCTGACGCTTGCGCTGTCTCATCCTCACTTTTTTGTGATTAATCACTCCAGTTTCCATGCCAGCACACATAGTACTTTTAAGCCTGTTTTATATTTGATTTTTTCATAAAAATAAAATATTCTAAGGGTTATATCTTCAAGTTTCTCATGAAGTCACAGAGAGTTGTGTCCATCTGAGAATCAGAATTACTGTTTGAGAACATCTAAATCACATTGTCTTCTGTATAGTTATTTAACAATCCTTAAAATTTAGTGATTGCTATGTTTCTTTACTGTCTGTTATACACTTCCTTCCTCCTTACCTTGCAGTAAAAGCTTTAATAGATTCACAATAGATATTCTTCACACAATAAAATTTGTCATTGATTTCCCAATCATTATATTTTTAGAAAGCTAATACAGTATAACCTTGATTGCCAGGTTTTAGGCCACATTTTTTAAAGAAACCCTCCAGAAAAATAACCTTCAGAACACTTCAACTAGAAAAGAAACAAAAGGGGATTAATTCAATAAACATGATTAGGGAACTGCATTTCTAGACTAATTTACTAATTTGTTTCTTTATTTGTTTTTTCTGGGAGTGTGATTTTGTTTTGTATTGATTTGGTTTTTGTTTTTTGGTTTTTTCCAAAGACCATAGAAGTTCTTATCCCAGGCAGTGAAAGAGCAATGCACCTCAGGAACCATCATCTCATCAGCTAACTCACCATGCTATGCATTTGCTACTTACAGTCTAGAAAGGAAGAGGATGATAGAGTGGTTTCAAAAAAGTAATGTTCTTTAAAAACCCCATATTATTGTCCTTTTATATCTGCTGCAGCTAGTAGATCCCTATTTTAAGAACATGAGACCATGACTGGGGAGCTAGTTGATAAAGTGTAGATGATAGTCTGCCATCCAGGGGACCTATAACAGTCAGGAAAAGAACTGAGAGGACCCTTATGAAGTTAAACAAGGTCAAAGCCAAAACCCTGGCCACATGAAGGAAGAACAATGATACAGACTGAGGCTTGTCTGAGGTAGAAGCTTGGCTAAAAGGATATGTAAGTCTCTTGGTGTGTCAGTATGAGCCAGCAGCGCGCCCTGGAGCAAAGATGGCCAACAACACCCTTGGCCAGAAGCACAGCCAGTTGACTGAGCAAGGAGATTATTCCTGTCTATTCAGCACTTTTCAGACCATGCTGAAAATCCTGTGCATTTTTGGGTATCCCAGACACAAGGAAGTCATTGATAAACTTCAGGAAATAGATGAGAGGCCAGATGACCAGACGAATTTCCCTGTGAGAAGAGTCTGAAGGTCCAACACCCAGCCTGGAGGAAAAACTGTCTTTGGCAGGACTCAAAAGCAGATCCCAGTTTCTATGAGAAATATATATCAAGAAAGTGGAGACATACAATGATGTGAGACAGGAAGGTGCAGCACAGCACAAATTGAAACAGGAAAGCTTGTGCCTGGATACAAATTTGTGGATACGTGCAATTTAAGGGCGTTCAGTTTGGGAATAGAGACAGGGGAGATAATACATTAAACATCCTGACACATCTTCTCAGGATCAGTAGATAGCAGCAAAACCAGAATGGTTGAGAGCTCTCAAAATACTGATGAAACTATTGAAAGGCTTGAGGAGGTTCATATAGGACTTTATAACTGGGAAAATGAGACAAGACAATCGTGGCTCTCATGTGAATTGTCAAATGTCTTTTGGACTATTTGAGGGGGCTTGTCTAATTGTGAAAATTACACAAGCCTCTAATGGGATCCTGTGTGTAAGCATACTTGTGCTAGTCTTACAGCTGGCCACATGTACACTTTATATGATTTTCTGTGGTTTTGTGTCTGTGGTTGTGTGTGTGTTTAGAAATTCTAGAGAAGTGCTCTCAGTTTTAATATCCACTGGATTCAGTTCCACTAACATTAAAGGAAAATCTGTTTCTCCAGGAGGACTGTCAGGCACTGCAGCAGGTTACCCAGAGAGGCTGACTGACCTCTTTCCTCAGAAGTTTTCAAGACCTGACTGTACAAAGCCTTGGCAACTTGCTCTATTCTTAAAGCTGACCCTGCTCCAAGCCACAGCTGGACTTGAGGCCTGCTGAAGTATTTTCAGACCTGAATCATCCTATCATTTTGGATTAATGATCCTACAATTATTTTTCTGAGGCAAAAGCCTATAGGAACTAAAATTGTGTCAGGTTATCGTGACAGGTAGAGTTTCCCAAGTTTCTAGAGTATTATCGGCACAAAAGGATGTATGTAGGCTGAAGAATGTGCTGATGGGCTCAGACAATGGCTCTTGATTAATTACTAGTCCTTTCCTATAGTTTTATGTACTATTAAAATATTTTTGGCAAACTTCCTTTCTTCTCCTACCCTCAGAAATCCCCAGTTCAAAAAAGTAGAAAAGGTAAAGGTTCTACACTTTTACAGTTCAGCTTTAAAATGTCCATTTATTTTTATTGGTACTTTAATTAAATGGATTTTTTTTCCTGGTTATGTGTTCTGAGCTGATGAGAGTATGCACACATTTACAGGTTGCACCTCAGCCTGACTTTTGCCAGCCATATCTATGTTAACACAATGAGCAAAGACAGACATTAGTGAAAATTGGGCAGAAACATGCACTTTATTTCTCTTATAAAGAAGTTGAGAGGAATAAAATGCTAAAAGTGAAGACACCTGCAATAAACTGGTGAAGAGGAAACCAGGGTGTTAGAGATTGCAGACTGAAAAGTAGAAAAGTAAGAGGGTTCTATTTGCTTGTGCATCCTGCTTTAAAGGGAGTTGGATTTTCTTAGTATTGTGTTTTCCTCCTAGAGCCGAATATTTATACTCCAATTCTTCAGTAAGCAGCAGAAAGCCTAACTTCCAATTAAAGGAAGCATATTCATACACTTTATGGAATAAAATTGTGTCTGAGAGAAATTTCACAGAAGTAGCTCACTCCAGCTCTGCTTGCAGCGACCGTTTTGCAGCCCTACAAATTATTCTCCTGCCTAAATACAGAGGAACAAGACTGCTAGGAGTATTCGTGTGTATCCTATTTATAATCATGATGGTTTTTACAAATAAATCTGTGACTTTTATTTAATTATGTTATAATAATGTGGGGTTTTTTTTCTTCTTTATATAAGATCCCAGCAGTAAAAAGCACTGGTCCCTGACATAAAGATTGAAAAAAATCTGTGTGCCTGTTCATTCTGTGTTTCAAAGTCTGCATGGCAAGCAAACATGAGCTAGATAATATCTTGAGCTGGATAATTTAGACTAAATGACTATCACTTCAATTTTCAAATATGCAGCTTTTTTTCTCCAGCGCTAAATTTGTGCTCCTACTCCAGCAATAGAAAACTACATTTGTCTTGAGTAAATTCAGATATGAATTGCAGTGATTCAAGCATGTTGAACATTGAAGAAGTTTTTGGCATCTCTCCTGTAAATGTACCGAGTTAAATCAATAGAGCATTCTTATTTCTTAATAATAAACTATGCACCACTAGTCATTCTAGAAAAATTTTTACATGTTAAATTATCAGAAGAATTACAGAATACCTTTCCTAGGTGATAATGTCTTTGTAACAACTTCTGTAGCTCTTAATCTAAAAAACAAAATGGTTATGAAATCTTCCTCAGTGCTGAGACTACAGATTTGTAATGACAGTGATTTCCTTTCACTAAGAGGGTCCCAGCACCCAGCTGGAGTAATTTGGCACGGCTCTGGTAAAGTCACTGGAGCAATACAATATTGTATGAGCTGGGGTTATAGTTCTTGAGAACAATAGGGAAAGCCCAGCTGTGTTATCGACAGACTTTTGAATACAGTTAAGAATAAAATCCTTTACACATGCACAAAAAAATAGCCACCCACTGTAAAAACACGTTTTCAAGACTGAATTGATTTGTGAATACCATGTGTTACCAATCATAATAATTACATATGTTAGGTAAACTTAATGAGAAAAGTAATTTTTTAAATTCATTGACAAAACACTCCTTCCACAAAGCACTTTCTTGTTGTTATTCACAATTATATTCTTTATAGTTTTCTTTAATTTCCAGTGTTACTTGTTGACTTTCTTCCAGGTGGAAAAATGGGACATTTGTTTACTATAAAACAACAGAGAAATAAGAGGCAAATAAAGCATTAAATAAAACCTTACTTTTTAAATACTACTCACAATTCATTTTGGAGGATTAAGCAAAAATTTGACTTTAGATCAAGATCCTGATCAAGACCTGAAGATCTTTTCTAAATTATTTATTTCATGATAATGATATGCTTTAAGATAACCAGACTGGAAAATTTGTTTAAGGGCAAAATATTATTTTTATTCCTGTACATGAAAAGGTGTGCATACCTTTTACATTGCACATAAGGGCAATATAAAAGACTGATTTCCTTTCTACTCAAATGTTATATTACAGCCATGACCTGAGGCTTAACACAATATTTTTAGTCATCATCATCATCATCTCAACAAATTCTAATTTATGGGTGTCTAGACCTCAGAGCCTCTTGACATCTTAGCAGAATTAAGAAAATATGAAGTTTCCATTAAAAAAACCCTGAGCAGTTTTAAACAACACCCCTAATCCCACCTAATCACAAACCATATCTATAAAGTATTAAAGTACAAAATAAATTTAAATTCATAGAAAAGAGTATTGGGATTTGGACCTAAAGAGTATACAAAAATGGCTCAAGATGTGATCTATTTTCATCCAAAAACCTGCTTTCATAATGGTTTTGACTTTTTGTTTTCTTTTGATTTTTCTTATTCATTTTAATAATTGGTTTTTATATAGTACGTGAGTCTGAGCAAGGAACTCAATAGATAGTATTTAAGGAGATTTGTA